ATGATGGGTTTTTTTTTCCCCTTGTGATCGTGGATGGTAGTCCTCTAGTTTAGTAATAGTTCTGTGGTCAGTGGCTGAGTTTGGAAGTATTTTTTTTCTTGAACAAGTTGCCTATCTGTAACTTTCCGAAATTAGAGAACTGTTAAATGGTAGGGAGAAAAGGTTCCTGTAAACAGTATTTTCCTTGTTGACCTCTGTTTGACAGAAGATTAAGGGAGTACCCGGATGTTCTGCTGCCTCTGTCATTAATGCACACTGCTTTGGCAGAAAAGCCTGATGGTTGACAGTGTTAGAGCATTCCTAGATTATCAGACAGCACTGGCTTTTCTGTGCACAGCACAGCAAACCACTCAGGTAAATCCCACCAAACACTGGAGTGGTTATTAATTCTGAAGCGGTGCAGAGAGTGTGCTTTTCTCACCGACAGAAGACATGCTCCAATATTGGCTGTAAACAAAACCTCAGTGAGATAGGGACTGCTTTTGTTTCTGTTGTTGCTGTCAGCCTGCAGTATGTACTAGTAGCTGATTTGGGGATTTGAACAGGTATAGATCTGAGACTTGCAAAACTGGCTTTGTGGTGGGGTGGTGATGATAACTACCTAATGTGCTAACTGTGCCTGTTAGAAATTAGTCAGAAAATGATGATGTTTTCCCAGTTCTTAAAGTGATGGGTGACTCCATTCATTCAAGGAGAAGGTCTGTGTTGGTCAGTTTGAAGATCTGGAGTTTTGCTTCTACTCTGGTGATTTCTGTGAGGCTTTGAATATGTCAAGGGCTTGAGTTTGAATGTGGAGTTTTGTGCAGGTCTTGGATCTCTGAAAATCCCAGCTGTTGCAGAGAATTTAGTTATGTGAATGTGTTAGAAAATAAATGAGGTTTAGATTAATATTAACAAGTGAAATGGAAGATTTAGTTGCTTACATGTGCTAACCTGCTTTCAGATTCTGATTTTTATAAATCTGTCTAGTTAACTGAGTTAAAAATTAAATCTTGCTAATCATATATAAATCAAGAGTTTGCAAACACTTTCTAAATGCTGTTTTAAGTAAACGTTATATTATGAAGTTGCAATGTCACACTTGAACAGCTAGATCATCAATTCAATATCGCTTACTGTATACAGGGTTTCACATGCTGGCAAAACCAGGGTTTGATCTATTGCTTCATGTAACGTAAACCAAGGATTCCTGTTGACTTTGAGTTGGGCCTTAAGTTTTAGCTATTCTAGGTTAGCTGTGTTGTTATGCAGAGGCTCCTTGATATGCTACCACTGTTTAAAGAATATAGAAGCCATGAATATCACAATGCAATTTGTGGAACCTTCAGAAATGTACAGCACAAGGGTCATGAGCTAACAAGTAACAAGTGGTTCACCTCTCTGGTCTTCCAGACGTCATCAGATTGTGCCGATGGAAATATTCTGATGGAAACATGGAAATATTGTGAGACTCACAGCCTACTCAGGGCTTTTTCTCTTCATATATTGTGAGGAGAACCTGTTATCCCTTTTTTCCCCTTCCGTGCTGCCTAGTAATTCTTATGTGCTTTATGGTCATACCCCTCACATCTGTCAGAGTGTCTTAACAGGCAGGACAGCATGGAAAGCTGTTCTTGGTAAAGTCTTTCACGTTGCCTGACCAGCCTACTGTGTTGTAGCTCAGAAGAATGCACAGTCAATCTCTTCAGCAATGGAGCCTAATCTATGTGTTAAAGCCTCACATGAGACTAGTAAACCAGTCATCCACATGGCAACTGGTACACTGTTTAGAAATTAGTGGTTTGGAGAATACGGTTTTAGAGAGTCTATTGGCCTTGGGAGTTGTGCTTGTGAGAGGGGGTGGACAGGTGTGAATTTGGGTTGGCCAGTGAACCCCAGATAGATTTTAGCGTCTGGTGATCTGTCAATTTGAATATCTATCCAGAGCAGCCACAGGAGGAATAAAAAAAACCACCCCGTAACAACATATGAGGCAGAAATAGGTGATGTTCTCCCAAGAACAGGAAGGATACAAAGATGGATCAGGTCCAGAATCCCATCTGTGACAAGGGTCAGCAGCAGATGACTGGAAGAAACAGGCAGATGATGTAGTTGGGCGCAGAGGTGGGTTGATAGCATTTTATATTAAAACCAGTGGTACAAGTAAGAGTAATATCTCTCTGAATTTTCTCTGCTCTGTTTTGATACGTCTGCAGTGGTTGCCTTAAATTACCGTTTAGATTTGTAATCTACTCTTTGCCTTCTCCTTTGTACTGAGTAGACCAGTGAGATTTCGTCTAAGTGGTTGAGAAAGTGTAAATGAGCCCTATTAATATGTCTTGTACTGAGTGAACAATCAACCCCCCGCGCCCCCGTTCCCAAAGACGTGAAATGTGTATTCAGTGCTTCGCACATCTACAGCTGTGGGAAAAAGGCTCCGTCATGATGTTCGTGTTTGACTCCTGCCCTCAGCTGCCAGCGATTTGATGGGAATTACCCGCAGGTACACAGAGCATGTGTCCAACTTGATTGTAACACGTTCCCATCCGATGGATCAGGAGTGAATAGGCAGGGGAATTATTCTTGTGGAGAGGGTTGTTAAGTGCTCAGCTCTGACTTCCAGAGCTGCAATCAATATCAGCCCTCTGTGCTCAGGCTGGTTGAACACTGACACAAGCATATGCGCTCCTTGGAGGTAGCTAAATGTATTCAGAATAGAATCACAGAATGAAGTAATCTGGAAGGGACCTCCAGAGATCATGTAGTCCAACTACTAGCTCAGAGAAGGTCCAGTTAGAGCAGGCAGCTCAGGACTGTGCATAATCAAGTTTTTAGAATTTCTAAGGATGAAGATTTCACAGTCTCTTTAGGCCCTTTCTAGTGTTTGACCGTGCTCAATATGAAACATTTTTTGTACAGAATGAGAATTTCTTGTGTTCCAACTGTGTCTGTTACTTCTCATCCTTCTTCTGCAGACCTCTGAGAAGAATTTGACCCTGTCTTTTCTATGCTTTGCCATAAAGTCATTGCAGAGAGCAGTAGAATTTCCCTTGAGTTGTCTCTCCTTGAGGCTCTCTCAGCCTCTCCATACCCTACTCCAGCACCTTGAGTGTTGTGGTAGCTCTTTGCTGGACTCACTCCAGTATGTTGAAGCCATTTTTATACAGGGGAGCTCGATACTGGACAGAGTGCACCTGGTGTGATCTCACAAGTGTTTATTAGGGGAAGAATCGCTTCCCTTGGCCTGCTGGCTGTGTTCTTGCTAATACAGCCCAGGATGCGGCTGGCCTTTGCTGAAAGGGCAGGCACTGCTGACTTGCGCTCACCTTGTTTGCTGGGACCTTCAGGTCCTCTTCTATAAAACTGCTTTTGAGCCAGTTGACTCCCAGCCTGTACTGTTGCATGGAGTAATTTGTCTTACTGTTTGCTCGCAGGGGTGTTACAGACACATGGTTCACTTACATAAGTACAAATGCACATTACTGCTGCCTTCAGAGCGCCCAGATTTTTTAACGAGTTAATTCTAGTATACCCTCAATCAAGACTGCAAAAAGTCTCTGCTTAAAGCAGACCTATCACTTGAAGATGATGTATGTTCATGTTGCAACACTGTGCTGTTTTGTCACTGGCTTCATGCTGTGAGGGCACGGATTTTACCGTGTAGTTATTTTTCAAGAGTGGCTATGACAACACATATTTTTCCCTTCAGTCTTGTATTAATAAATTCTGGCTAATCTGTATCAGGATTACTAAGTGAGACAAAATGAAGCTGAAAAATGCTATTAATGTCAATGGCAGTAGCAGCAGAAGTTGCCTTATGCAGCAAATTGTAAGCAATGATAGCTTGACTGCTTGTACCATCTACTTATTCATGCTCAGACTCGCTTTCACAGCTGGGAGTCAGAAAGGCAGTGCAATATGGAGTCGGGGGATCTGTATAGACTCAATTGTAAGTACCATTTTCCCCCAGATGGCTCTGGTAGGAATGGGGTACAGACAGCCCTCCTGCAAGCTTTACTGTCACTGTCCTATATTTTTTTCCACTGGGCAAAACTGGAGTACACGGCTGGCTTAGAGTGAGCGCGATACAACAGCAGAGCTGGCTCTGAGTGACTGTGGAAGCCCAGGTACTGGGAAGCAGACTTCTAGCTCACGTGAAGGATTTTTATAATATTCAAGTGCTGCTTCCAGGTGCTAAGAAATTAGCTTAGTGGTTTTCTTTACTGTGCAGGAGACATTTTTCTTTCTTAATGAGGAAATATTTCATGTCACATGCTGTGAATAATTCCATCTTTATTTTTGCTGTATGAAAAATATATGCTTGCCTAGTACAGATTTTCTGGATAAGATGACGGAACGGGCAAAGTTCTGAGATCTGTTTACCAGCAACATCATGACTTATGGCTGTGGACTAAATGTTTTATGTGGACTCCCTTCATGCTCTCAGAGAAGGAAACTATAGGACACTTCATGTGACTCTCTTGTTTGCTTGGTCTCTCTTTCAGTTGAAAGAAAGGGGCAGCTCTGCCAGGATTGTATTCTGATGCCTGTCTTAAATTGCCTTGCAGATGGGTTAAGATAAGTTCAGACAACATTGGCAATGAATCTAAATACTAATCTTTGGGAAATGTTAGTTTCTTTTGGAACAGCGTTTAGCTGATGGGCATGTTGTGAATAGTAGAGTTTTCCATGGTTCTCCCAAAAAGGATGTGAAGTGTCTTAAGCAGTGTCTTTAAATGTACTTTTCCTGGACTCCACTGCATCTTTTCAACGGTCCCTATGGTGACAGTGCTGCAGTGAAACTGAAAACGCAGAGCTGAAATTCTTCAGTATTGAGGACCCTGCCGTTAATTCTCTCGATAGCTCTATTACAGGAGGACCTGCACAGTCATTAGCATGCCGTGATATATAGCTGTGTAGAACGTTAGCAGTGCTGTGGGATTGCTTAGAAATTTCATGACAACCTTGAATCTCTTCTTGGATGACTGCTGAATAGTTCTTTTGTTTCCCTTTTTTTCCAGCACGAGATGAGAACATGGCCACTTTCCGTGGTTCTGAATACCTTTGCTATGACCTGTCGCAAAACCCCATCCAGAGCAGCAGCGATGAGATAACTCTCTCCTTCAAGACATGGCAACGCAACGGGCTCATTCTGCACACCGGCAAGTCAGCTGATTACGTCAACCTGGCCCTGAAAGATGGTGCGGTCTCACTGGTCATTAACCTGGGGTCTGGGGCCTTTGAGGCCATTGTGGAGCCGGTCAACGGCAAGTTCAATGACAACGCGTGGCATGACGTTAAGGTGACGCGCAACCTGCGGCAGGTAATGGTGAAGGGGAGAAAATGCTGGGGAAAACTTTGTTCTATTTTATTGAGGCGGGCAGATGGGAGAGAGTAATGGAGGAATGGGGATGCTCAGTGGAATCACTAGATTTTCTCCACCTTTCCTGGATCTTGATATCTAAAGGACAGTGAAAAAACATTAGTTGATGGGAATTTATCCCGGTTGTGTTATCTTCATTTCCACATTATGAATTTTCTGTTTTTACCAGTTTGATTTAATAATAAAAACTTGTGACATAACTTTGCTTTCATCTCCCTTTCCTTTTCTCTTTTTCTGTTCTCCGTTTTTTATTTTATTATTTCCTTAATTATGTTTCAATCTTATCAGTAATATTCTTGTTGCATTTAATTACTGTGGGAACAGAGTCTTCTTCCAACAGCCAACGCTCTACACCTCTCTCCTTTTTCTTTCAGTTTTGTTAATTGATTTAACTGTTACCATGATGTCATAATTCTAATTCTGGAAGTCTTTTGTTTTTCCTTTACTTTTTCTTTTCTTTTGTGTGTGCATGTGAGTGTGCAGGTCTGCAGGCTGGTGGGTACATCTGTAATTATTTTAACCTTATAGCTTTGGAATTAATTGGCTGGAGTCCTTCTGAGTCTTCTTGATTCTCTGTTCTTCTTTTCTTTTTTGATTTTTTTCCCCCCTTCTTTCTATAATGTGATTCTACTTTATTTCTTGTGTCTCTGCCTATGAGACTCCTGTGTTGGCTGTGAGAACTGGAAAAGTGGAAGGATCAAAAAAGCCAAACAAACCCAGATCAATCCAACACCCTACAATTCCACTTTGGAAAAGTTTTTCTGGTTTTACCACTGTAATTTTGCACATCTGCATGCTGCTTTTCTAAGCAGACAACTCTATCAGATGACGTATCTGGTAGTAGGCTAAACTTAAAATCCTGAAGCCTTCCTCATGAAATATAAATTCACACATAAGTAGATAAGATAAAATTAAATAACCTTGCTCTGAAAGCTGGTGAATATATCAAATCACTAAGGCCCATTCTCTGCATGATAAATGAGGTTTATGCTGTGAATAGGAGCTATTTGGTGTCTCGCTGATACAGGCAGCAGAAATAGCTTGCAAACTAAGATTTTAAAATCAATTTGTGAAAACAATATGATCTGTTTACTTGCTCATTAATGTGAATATTAACACATCCCTTAATAGTTTTATTTAAGTCTATACAATGTCATTTGCTGGGAAAACAGCTTGTGTGGTAAACGTTTTACAGTAGCTAAGATAAAATGTATCTGTCAGTACAGGGTAGTCAGTGCCAGGGATTAGAAACAGTCTCTACTATGAGATGTCAGTGGATAATTTATCTGTTATGGGGATTTCCTATCTTTCTTTTAAATATTTGGGTTTGGGGCTGAAGATATTTATTTGTCTTTCCCACGTGAATCTCTGTATTTCTACAGGCTCAGGATGTATTTCTACATGCTCTGGGTCTTTGACGAAAAATCTGTCATAAAACTTTCATAAGACTGCAGGGTTCTTAATTATGGCAGCACGATTCTGTTTACAATAGTTTATACGCAGATGCAAATTTAACTTCCTATGCAGTGGATGGGTCTTAATGATCCTATTTCGTTCAGACATTCCCATCAGTTCAGTAGAGGCAGATGCACCAACTGGTTGAGGTTTGCCAGTCTGGAAGGGTCAGAATATATGGCTTTATTTGATGTGTTTTTTATTTTTAGCTGGTTTCAGAGTGGCTGGTCTCTGAATATCTCAGTATAGCTTTCCGGTCATTTTAGTTAATTGTACTTTTTTTTTTCTTTAATTGGAAATCAGTTTTCAATGGGAAAATGTGCCCGATACACAATGCATCCTTGCTTCATGCCGGGATTAGTTTGGATCTTGGAGAAGCAGAAAGTGAGGAAGGACTGCAGACAGAACTGTGGATGGGAAAATCTCATTTTCTTTTCCTAATCTTTCAGCTAGTGATTTTTTTTCTTGGTCCACAGTTAAATGCAAATATGTCTATACCTTTTTTTTCTCTTTGATTACACCAGGACAGCATTTCAGTGACTATTAGAAAGCTGGTGGGTCCCTTGCCAGTTAAGCAACACTGCAGTTTTTTAATCCTCCTGATCTGTTCACTGTGGATGTTTCATGTGATCCTGAGTTATTAAAGGGTCCGACTTGACCAAGCAAGAGAGACAATGTTTTAATAAGATGACTGTGCTCTTTCCAAAGAAAGGCCAACCTTAAAACCTAATTAAAAATAAGTATCAGAGGTGATTTGGGGTCTAATTCTGTAGACAGGCATGACAGAATACAGTTCAACCAATAAATATCAATTAGACTGAATTTTGAGTCATCTTTTCTGTGGATACTTCCGTTTTAAGTTCTGATCAAGTTCAGTCTTGAAATTAAGACATTGACCCAGAATCTAAAACTACCCAGAAACTGGAATTGATGAGGCCTTGAGGAGAAGCAATCCTGCTAGTCATGAAAGTTGTCATCCAAAAATTATTGGTAAGTTTAACCACAGTTTTCAATAAGGAGAAGCCTTGAATGCTGCAGCCTTCCTGTCAGGTCCTGTGCATTCTTACTTTCAATTGATATTACTAGGGATGAAGAAGTCTTACAACCCTTCTAATCATCAGGATAAGAGTTTGGAAAAGATTGAAAACTTGAATTACTGATAACTAATTAATACCTGCTATGGACATTTTTTAGTACATAACTAAGAATGGTCACTGTATACTTTGACTTTTTAAATGCTTCATGAAACAAACAGAAAAGATGGAGACCATTTTAAATAAAGCACAAGATGAAGGAGTTTGTTTTCTCCATTCTGACAGCAGCTTCCAGCAGCTTATGTCTGCTGGTTTTCTCTGTATATAAATTCGAGAGTTTCTCCATCTGTAAAATACTTCACCATTTTTCAGACAGGCAATGAACCTGTGAAGTCCTTTTATCTTCATATAGAAGATGTAATAAAGAAAAAAGATTATTTATCGCTTATAAAATGATACGTTTTGTCCTTTATTGCATCCAGTATAATTTTGTATGTAAGAAGTTATCTGCTCTACATCTTTCCTGGCATAAATTCACCTGTAAAGTTGCACCATAATATAGGTCACTTGGGAGTCTTGTTTCCAGTTGTGCTCGTGTTTCCTCAAAAAAACCCACCCCAAAACCAATCAAAAAACTCCAACAAACAAAAACCATCGCTCCTGAATACTGGAGCTTTATAAGGAAATCAGTACCGTCCTTGTAATTGGTTAAAAACATTGCACTGGTAATATATTTCTCTTTAAAAGGAACTTAAATCAGAAATTCCAGGAATATGATCTAAAGCTAAAACCATTTCAGGTAAATGGGCTATCAGCAGCTTCAGGATGTCATCTAGTCTTTTCCTCTGCTCTTTTTGGGGTTGGGAGAAGGGGGAGGAGGATTTGCATAATTTTTTGGCTGTTCCTAGAATTAGAGCAGAACTTTAAATATCTGGACTTTTGCCCAGTACTTTTTGGAACTGTTAAATGTTTTGTTGCTAAGCTAGGAGAGTACTAAGTGCTGCTTTATTTTAGATCAAATGACTATCACAGCAGTTAATCTCCTTAGAGACAAGCCAAGTGAACCCACAGATTCCCTTGAGTAGTGATTGTTAATGTCAAAGCAAATCTCCTTGTTTATTTATCTTATTATTTCAGTTAAAACTAAGCCCTCTTTCTGCCTCGTGAGAAACCTTTGCTAGAAATAGGATCATGGCTGTATTTTACCAGGGCTTTCAGAGCATCTCTGGAGCAGTGTGGTCTGGTGGGAGGAAGAGGAGGAGCAGAGGAGACTGAAGGTCAGACTTCACATGTCTGTCTCCAGGTCTGCTGCTGGCACTCCGTCTCATTTTTAGCATGATCTTCCCCTCGTCCCATACTCCAACTCCCTTGTCTGTAAAACTGGATTTACTAACATGATGTCACTGTGAGTGAGACTCCCTTGATGAAGAATTGTTGAAGAAGTTCGTGAATTGAATTGATGAAGAGTTTGTGCTCATTATACTCAAGTACAGAATATTATTATTTCATTCCCATAGACAAATGAAATAGACTTGGGATATTAAGTTCAATGCCACGAAGTTTTCACAAAATTATTTCCTTAGTCAATGCTTAATTCTTCAATTCGCAAGCAGATAGTTTTTACACGAGGCAGCATAGATCTTGCTTGTATAATTTAGGATAGTTCTTGCCAATTTCAGTCACACTGGAACAAGGACTTGGAGCCTCCACAGGCTGCACTTCCCTATTAACAGTGAAATTAGTCACCATGCAAAATCTGCTATGAAGTTCTTGAGTTATCCAGCTGCTAAAAAGCAAAGAAGAAACAATGTGTAGGTTCGAACAGTTGGCATCTGCATGCCTTGGGAGGAATTAGCAAAGCATCTGCGAAGTTCTGCTGAACTCAACTAAGTGAACTGACTGGTGAATTCTCCTAGCTCCTCCATGATATAGATACGGTATAACAGGTGAGATACTAAATCTTGTCAGTCTTCTGTCTTCAACCTTGACACAAGCAACATGATTCTTCCTACAGTAGGAGAGGTTCAATTCCTATGCTCTCGGATGACAGAAGTGAGCTATAGGCAAACAGCCAAGCACAGGCATTTTTGTGTGCTTCTCCTGAAAGCTGCAAACTCACCTGCTGTAAAGAAACCTGCAGATTGGGAAATCTGGAAGGAAGACTCAGAGTCTTGGACTCATCTTCATCTGTATCCTCCAGCCAAAGGAAATATTGGCCTGCATGTGATACTCTGCAACACTTAAGGGTAGTGAGGCTTGGAAGAGGAGC